ATCAGCTTGATGCCTGCGGTCGACTCTGAGGATCCCCTGGCATGAATAATTGTTTTATAGGAAAGCAACGCGCTACCATTGCGCTACGCCGGCTTCTCCTGTTGCTGGTTTGAAGTGAACCTTCAGCGCGTTCAAGGGCTTGATTCTCGTCATAAAAAACCGCCGAAAAAAGAAACAAAGAACGTAACACGGGGTCCGTCGGATGTTATTGAATTTTTGCGCTGACTGATATTGGCCAAACCCATAATTTATCAGATAATAAATGTATGTATTTTAACGTGCGAACCCGAAGGATGGCCTTTAGTGCTTGCTCTTTTTGTTCCCCCATGCCCTCAATAGGTGACGGATCGGCCAGCCACAGCTTTGACTGTAATACAAGGGGTACGCAAAAAAAAAATCCTATACACGGGGTTGTTTTACTTGGATAAGGCGCCATCGACCCACCCCCCCTCCCTAGGCTTCCCAAAAAGGAAATCTATCACGTGTTTACCACCTATCTAGACCCTACGCCGTCGCTAGCGTGTAGAACCCACCCTACCTCCAGCGTTCGCCTTGCACTCGTTATCGCAAAACCACCCTCCGGCGGGCCTTTCAATGAGACCACGGCAACTCAAGTGATACTGTATTTATATTAGCATTTATCCTGTATTTATCACAATAAAAGCGATCTAAAAAAAATTGAGACCTGACGGAACAGAAGTAAATGTGCACGGACTGCGTGCAACATGCTTCAATGCTGAAGCATAGCACAAAATCCACTTGCAGACCATTGAACTTACGAAAGTTGACACAAATTTGACGTTTAGCGGGAGGAGGAGGAGGGCCAATGGTAAGCACTCACAATAGAGTGATGGCAGAGTGAACTTCTTGGTGAATGTTTGTTGTTGAACCAGGCCGACCCAGCCACTGATGTCAGATGCGCCAAACAGGGACAAAATATGAGAATCTGGGCTCTCTGTGCCCTACTTGGCCCCTACACTCATAGGGATTTGATAGATTGAGATACAACAACTTTCTGGACTCTCATAAGGCGAAATCAAGCAAAATGATCAACAATTTTTTTAATTTGGATAAGCGCTCGACCTACCACCCCCCCTCCCTACCCCATATGTCGGCAATTGCCAGTGCATACCCCTTGGTTACAGCACCAACTTTGTCCAAAAAATGACCAGACATTCTTTTTTCCCAGTTAGTGTAGCTTAGTGGTATTCAACATTCACGTGCACGGTGTACTGTGGTATTTTGACCAACTGTTCAGTCACTTGTCACATCAGATGATGAACTGAACAGATTCTGGCTCTTGTCACAGGTCACTTGAGGGGTTGAACAGGGTGACATTTTACCCTAAAAAGGAATGTTTATCAAGGTGGCGGAACGTGGAAAGTGTACCAACACTCATTATTTTTTTTCCATGGATTTGGCTGACCTCCCCCCCTCCTCCTCCTACTATCTAAGGTATGTTTTCCAAGTTCCAATGTTTTAATGAAATGTTTTTTTTGTGCTACAGTCCCAGCTTCTCCAAAATCCAGGACCTGCCTAGTACCTACTCATAAACTTTAAAATCGCAGTTAAAGATGCTGTGCATCCAAGTCTTTGCATGAAGGATCATACAAGCTTTACAAATTTTCCCAATGAAGGTTTCTACACAGCCACCAGAACAACGAAATGCACACCCTTACTCACCCACTAAAACACTTTTGGACCTTGATTTTCAAATTCAGGGAGGTCTAAACTTTCAGAAATGGACCTTTGGTGTTTTCCCCATGTCCTGCTGCCCAGGTCACTATTTATTTTTCAGCCTTCGGCCAGACCCCTCCCTCCCAGCCAGTGTTCGGGATCCACATTCTGCCACCCCCTTGAAGTTTATCCAAAAACTCATTTTTTTTCCACTGCACGGCATACACCTGTTACAAAACTATACCATCCACTGATCCGAGAGGTTGTAAAGGAGGCGACAAGGTTGCTGCCAGATGCCATGTCAACTTCTCAACAAACACTTGTCACTGGCCGAACACTTTCACTGCTCTATCACACGGTCATCTTGATTTCGAACACCCCTCCCATCTGTTCGAGGCTGTCATGTGTCACATTGGCTGAACAGTTGGTCGAAATACCACAGTATGTGTATGGGAGTTCAAAGAGTTGTTGGCAGGCCATGGGTGGAGAGTAGTGTTCGCAAGTTCAGTTCAGTCCGTTTTTTTGCCCCCAAAACGCGCAACCGTGGACCGCAACCAGTCTAGGACCGACCCAGATATTGAGGGAACCGAACCGAACCACCTAGGACCGGTCTATTTCGGTCTATGGAGCCGGTTCAGACCGATCCAGACCGGTTTTTTTGCATATAATTTATTATACCAATATAAACCATTTGTATCTTGACTATTATTACTCTGAAAAATAAACGGGTTATATGAAATAGTAAAGCATGTAAATACCCGTCATTCTACCAATTTTGAAGAGATTTAATGAAGATTTGACATAGCTATGACTGAAACCGAATTACATCTTGTAGAGACTCGGGTAAAATATGGATTTGGTTATATCTTTCTCAATTCTTAACCGTTTTTGATGAAACAAAAACCCAATAAAAGGTAATAAACGTGGTTACAAGGGTATGTAACGCACGTGACCGTTTAACCGGTTGCAACCGATCAAAACCGGTCTTTGAACGGTTTTAATATATTTTCGAAATGAGGCAACTGGCAACCGGACCAACCCCAAATTGGGGCAACTGCAACCGAAAAAAAGACCGGACCATGGTCCGGTTCAGTTCGGTCCACCGGTTTTTTGTGGTCCTATGGACTGAACCTTTAAACACTAGTGGAGAGGGGGTAAGATAAGGGTATATCTTAATGCATATGATTTATGCATTCTCCAAATTCCATCAGAAAAAAACACAAAAGATACAGATACATATTCCAAATTGCAATGTATTCACAAAGAAAAAGGAGCTCTAAGTACCAACAATGGTAAAAAATACAGGGTAAAAGAAACAACGGCTAGCAATGAGGGAGGACTGGGGAGGTACAGATGAAGGGAGAGCAGCATCAAACTCAAAAAGACGTAGTCGAGTCAACCTCAATAGTCGGCACGATGCTCGCAATAAACTTGAGGAAAACGACCAAATAAAAATCAACCCTCATCCCCTCCACCTCCTCTTCCTCAGCCCCAGCTTGCAGCTGTTGAACGTCCTTGGCACTCCCAGACGACTTTTGGCTGAATGGCCATTTCTTCTCTTTCTTAGGGGTGTCCTTCCCCGAGGGTTTACCGCACTGTGCGAGCTGTTCCTCAACGATGCTGTTGTTCATCCTTTCTATCACTTTCTTCATGACGCTGGTGTGTTTGCATGGATGCATGGAGGCGGCTTGTAGAGAGACGGAGTGGATGAATGGTTCGATTATTACTGTTTTCTGGGCATGGTCTGCTGAGCTGTTTTGGAAGATTTGGGAGGGGGTTAGTGGGGTGCGGTTCTGTTGTTTCCGTTAGCTAGTGTATTAAGAAAAATGGGCGAAAGGCGAACCTCATCATAGCCGATCAGCCAAACGCGTGGGGTCTGGTAATACTTGTCGTACATTGTACGTGCGGACTTGAAGGAGATTGCCCTTTGCGACTTCCACATTAGTGCTACAAAGAAATCATCAGCACTCTTTCGACTTTTTCAGAAAAACCAACAACAACATACCTAGGATCAACCACCCCAGCAGTAGCAGGTATAACTGAGGCTTTAGGCGCAGCAGCCGTAGCCTCAGCATCCCCTTCCTCCAAATCATCCTCCATATCAGGGATATCATCCAAATCAGCCGTCTCCGGCCCAACACCCTCACCCCCCGCACCCAACGACATGCCCCCCCAACCCCCTCACAATCCTCTCCTCGTCCTCATGTGGCCCATCCCCATCCAAATCAGGGATATCTGCAATCTCACCCACGTTTGTTGCAGAGTCCGTTCGATGCGCTTGACGGCCCGCGTGCGTCTCGACCCACTCATCGCCGTCTGCGGAGGAGGAAGAGGAATCAGCGAAGGAGAGGAGACACTCAGCGTCCTCGTCTGCGTCTGTGTAGGCTAGGGACGCCACGCGTCACTAGGTATGGTTTGTCGGATGGGTTCGGAATTTGGAGGCGTCTTCTTTTTCCCTATTCATAAGTATGTAACCTCAGTCAGTTTTTTGCGACGGGATAAGAGGAGGAATGGCTTAACATGTCCACACGAGGAACTTGTACACCAGAAAGTCACCTGCAGAGACAAATTCCTCTGTTGTTCACGGTGAGCAAAGGACGTGTAGGAGGTAGATAGACGATTGTGAACGGACTGGGTGTAATACGGTCGTGTTCTTATAATTTGCTCTTTGAAAACCTAATGGGTGGGGTGATGGGTGACGAGTGATGACGGATTGCGGATAATGGGGCTCACTGGGCTTAGGTACTCGCGCACGGCGAATAGGCTAGACTGGATTGGTTATGTCTGGCTAAGTTGGTAGGAGATGAACGACGCGATTGTGGACTTACTAGGAGGGTGCATGGGGGTTGGGTTGACGGAGAGCTGTTTTTGTAGAGAACCTCCTCAAACAACTGCATGGTGCCGAAGCAGAGGCGGTTGAAACCTCACTAAAATCTCGACGACGGTGTTGCAGAGTAGTCGTGTTCAACAATCAGCATGCGCACAGCACTCGTGACTCACTCCTCCTCATCCACTCCAAGTCCTCCTCATCCACTCCAAGTCCTCGTCCAACGTCTAACATGGCCTTGTTGCAACTACAAACATAGAACTTTGACACAAAGGTATGTCTCCCGAATTTTGAGCTTCTTTCTTACAACATAAAATGGCCATCCTCAGATGCGCGTGATGATCAAGTCCCGCTCAAGGCCTACTCACAGGCCACGACTCTAGAAACACACACAAGTGCTCGTACGCGACCAGTCAGTGTAAACCAGGACTCGTTGAAGCACTATCCGACACCCCTCACATAAACCCAACATAAGCACATGGCTTCGACCCTCCTTCGCGCTCCCTCGCCCCTTCAAATCTTCAGATCCTAATCCCGCCATCCGAGTTTACATGGCCCACCTTGCCAGCATCCATCCCTGTATGCAGAGCCTTCGCAAAGAACCTCCTCCACCCCTCCCCAAAGTAATCCTCCAAAATTTCCCTTCCACCTCAAGCCCCCATTCCACCTCGAAAGCCTCGTCTTCCGCCTCAACTGCCTCTCCCCGCCTCTCCCCCCCACTTCAAACCTTCATCCCTACCCTCATACAAACTTCCCTCTACGCCTCGGACAACACAAGCTCTGCCTCGTCACTTCCACGTCCTCTCTCCCTTGGTAGAATCGACATGTTCGATGCTGGTTGGGCGCAGTGCGCGGCTGAGGGTGTTGTGCTTGTTTTCAGTTTTCAATGAGGAGAAATTCCAGGGCTTCTGTGGGACTGAATGTGCGCAAGGAAGCTGGAATTCGAGATGGGACTTCGGACACAACTTCTGCTCCACGCAATTCGCACATAACGAATCACCGTCTGTTTGTGCTTCTCAAGCCCAATCTCAGACGGCAGACGCGAACGATTATGTGGAGCATTTTCGTCAGTTGAACCTTTGCAGGAGTGTATCGTGCCTAGTATGTGCGATATTCCCTCTTGGGATTCTTCGACGTCGACTTCATCTTCGAGGGTACCATTCACTCCTGCTACCGTGGCGTGGCGTGGCCTTGTCGAGTTGGTCTTTGACCCCCCCACTTCGTCGAGTCGAACTTTAGATTCTGAAAAATGGAAATCAGCATGGCCGGCCGACCACACCCATAAAGCAGTCACCATCGGCTCCATCTACTATGACCTACCAGCACCTCGGTGCACCCTACGAGTCGGCAGTCACTGATTGTCACATATTTTGGCTGGACAAGCGTGACTCTCGTTTTCCAAGTTGTCACGCAACATCACACTTGTCCAGCCAAAATTCGTGACGATCAGTGACCGCCGACTCGTAGGGTGCGCCGAGGTGCTGGTAGGGCATAGTACCTCTCTAGTTCTCCACCATCTCTGAACACCATCTGTACTGCCACTACGTCCCGGGTCGTCGGCAAGCGACGATTGTACTTTCAGCGTGCTTGAAGTCCTTCGTCCCAGTCGTGCTTGAGTGGATGGTGAACCTGCGTGATGCTTTCATTCTCAACTTCAGCTCAGCAGAGCTTCGGCTCTGGCTTGTATGAGGTGTCAGCGCGCTTGCGGAAAATCAAGGGGTTTGTACCAATGATTTCAGTGGAAACGTTGACTTTTCAGACTGATATTCACACCTCAATAGGTTTGAGTACGGCATTCAGACATCATCGGTCGTAGGTGGTTCAAAGTGACTGTTCTTTCGCTTCAGTCGACTGGCATGAAGAACTATGCATGAGCTCAAGTTTGCCACCATCCATGAAGTCGGAGATCAATCCGTTTTTTAACGTACGTGCTTTACTCGCATCTGTGTTTTTTCTGTCTCATCAAAAGGTCGTCATTTAGATAATTTCTTATACCGAACTAGGCATGCGTCAAAGAAGCACTGATCTGACTACAACCGCATGGTATGGGATGTTTGGGGCTCCAGTCAGGACAATAGTAAGTTTTCATCAATCATTGGTAGAAGTTCACGGCCCTAAACTGCTAACTGTAACTCTAAGCCGTCATGCTGCTCTATCGTCGAGTCTGGCACCTGACCAAGTCAGTTGTATATGGAATTTTGCACCAATAAGCAGATGCTGGAAGTTCGCTGGATTGCGACACTCCCTCCCTCTAAACACCTGTCTTTGCGGGAGTATACGTAGCGGTAAACGACTTTCCAGATTTGCCACTGTCTAAAGCACCTCATGAAGGCACTTAGGTAGCTCGTTCCTTCCTCAGCCCAACTGTGCGGAGATTTCGATCTCGCGCCCTTCACAGTGAGTCGTTTCTTGCGCTTCGCGCCTTTGCTGAAGCTGACTGTTCTTACCATTAAGGACATCGTGGCGCTCACCACCATCTGACTTCTTGGCCACAAACGTGACATACCCTTCCCTCACAAAACTTTGCCCTCGGTCCGAATGGCAGGTGTGAAAGTGGTGGGCGCATGTAAGGTTTTATGGTTTTTACGGAAGCTGCTTGATCTAATTATAAATCGAAAAGTCACACTGTACGTCTCGCCGACATCGAGGCCACCAGTAAAGTACTCTTCGGTGTCATCGGTTGCATGGGACGATTTTTTTTTTTAGAGTGATAATGTTTCTGGGTGCTAGGTTTAAAGGCAAGCACCCTTCCATGCATCCCAAGACACACCAGGAATAGGCCCAGTGTGGAACTGATAGTATACGAGGTTTTCCCTTCCCATAAGCCGTGGCTGCAGCTTGTTATGTGTCAGGCATTGCCAGCTTGGCGCTCATGCAAACTAGCATCTTCACTTTGTATGCATTGCTTGTCAGTTCAAGTTCTTTTCGAGCTTTTTACCTCGTACAAAGCTGATCATTCTTGATATAAAGAGAATTGTCCCCCACCTCAGCTCTCATGCACTATCTGATAATCAGTCGTGACAAATCTTCACCCCAGAAGGGATGCACAACTCGATGTCCATGACCGGCTCAGATTGCGGGTTCCATATGTAAGGGCCTATGCCCTCTTGAATCAAAATGACATGCCCAATCAGAAGGGGCGAACTCATCACCGTCATAGATCCTACCTTTACAAGTAGGACATCGACGTTTCAAGTTGAGGTGGGTGTTTTATATCTGCTAACATTTGTCTGTGAACTTACCAGAACAACAGACTCAAGATTACGATGATGGTCACGACACCCAACGGTTCGGACAGTTCAACGTGCTGAGATGGTAAGCTGTCATCGACGGGAGCCCTTCATATCTGATTTATCAATCAGTTACCTTTCAGGCTGCCAGGAAAGCGCTCCTCACTGTTCAAGATCGACCCAATTTCAGTGTGTGGTTATGTGGTCGAGTGTGATGCGCAAATTACGTATACTTATCTTGGGCTTTCTATTAGGGCAACGGGAAACGACATAATTATGGAACATCGATTTTGATTCAATCACCCCACCAGCGACAAACCTTTGTCCGAGACTGGTTGGAAGGACATCTGGACACCTACATGACCTCTACACCAGCCATGACGTCGGCGAACTGGAACTACAAATCACCCTTTATTATCGTCCATGGATGCTCCTCGAGGTGATCCCCACCTCAACCCCCTTTTTGATAACGGTCATATAGAACTCAACCTTTTGTTTTGTGCTGTGAATCTAAAGCAAAGACATCTACGGGTCCAATGTCGCAAATGGTGCATATTCCTCGCTTTTCATTTCAATGGACTCAATAGCAACCAGCTACTGCTCAAGCGCTCACAGGTGATACCGTCACATCCTCTGACAGTCACACCGAGCGCCTTATCACACACCATCACTCTTGAAACGAGGCTAAAATTTCTATATCAATTGGTCTTCCCTCATGCCTGCCGTTCAAAGCATGTTCCAAGCGCTAAGCATCTCCCTTTCACCAAAACCACCATGACTACCGCGAGGGGTGGCTCAACGGGAAGCCCCAGCATTGAGATTACAGGTAACCTCTCAGATTTTTGCCCCAGGTCAAACATCTGACACCCATTGACTAGAAATCTGTGTTTCATCCCAGTATATCCTCAAATCGGTCCAGCTTTCGATTGGATCGTTCAAACGGGAATCACCCTGTCTCCTGGATGCAAAGACTCACGCATTTGAGTTGTCATCCCCCTGGTGAGCCGATGATCATGTGTAGCATTGGACGATAAACCTAGTCAACGCAGTCAACTTTCGCCTTCGGAGCCCCTCTATCTGCAAGTCCGATTCCGCGGATTGTTTCGTGCTGCGTCAAAGAGCCAGATACCTCTTGATGAACTGCTAAGCAAGGTCGGCCCCCACTTCTCCGGAAAACAAGGCAAGTGCCTCCCTTCTGCAATCGCTCCTGTCTTGCTGATGCAGGACTTTCTACTCTAGAATGGTCAAAATCATTTGACAAGTTCGATGTCATCTTGAAGTTTAGCCAATATGCAGGGGTGTGTGCACTTCTATCTCAAATGCAAAAGCGTCCGCGTAATGCGGGTATCGATCTTAAAATGCTTTAACCAAGGCAGAACCTGCGACGAGTGGCGACCTACAACCCACAACGGATGAGTTATTCAAGTTGGTCGAACGGTCAGTCTGCTTAATCCCCGACTACTGTGGCTTACCTTTCCGCTAGGTTCCGAGTCCTAGTCATCGGCAACGTAGTTCTCTCATGCCTCTATCCTCAGGCATTAGCTTACAGTTTGTTTTTACAGAGTGGTGTAGGGAAATCTTCCCTTATCAACGAATGCTTCGGCGTCAAGGATGCTATGAGGCCACTTCCCTGTCTTCTCAAAATCCACTCCTAAAGCTTGTCCTTCCCCAGACCGTGGCTCATTCAAAGGCTGGCGTGTCAAATATCAATACTCCAATTATAGCCAGCGAAAACAGAAGATTTGTTCTACACGACAGTCAGGGCTTCGAGCATGGGGAGGGTGACAACTTCAAGAAAGTCGTTGATTTTTTGAAAGCTCGGAAGGACATGCCCAATGTGAGGGATCAGGTACATGCTGTCTGGTATGTTTTCCACTCCTCGATCACTTGAGTGAGCAAGATGATGAAGGTGTTGCGCAGGCTTTGTTTCCAAGTATCCTTGTCTGAAGGTAATCGTTTGTTCGAGGCTGGGGTGGAAGAGTTATTCCGTATGAAGTTGGTAGGACAGGTTGAATTTGGTAACAATCTCAAGTTTCAAAAACGCAACAAACATTTGGATGCGGAAACCCGAAATGCATGTCTTGCTGAAGAGGCCAGAGCAAAGTTCCAAGAATTGTGCATTGGTCCCTTTGAAAAGGTTGTTGATAAAAACATTCCGCACATCCCCGTCTCAAGTAAGTTGCGAAGAGATTTCTGGGGCTTGTCCTTACATTTGCCAACACAGCTACTAAAGGATACAAAGATACCAGAAAGATGTTGAACGAGCTTGTCCGTCTCACTACTGACTATGTTAAAAACACGCTGGCGGTCGACGTTGCTGGAGATGTTGCACTAGTCTCTGCCATTGCTCAACGCGTGAATCCAGCTGTGAAGATTGATGCGGTGATTGCGTGAGCACTTAAACACATGTCTTTTTAATGCAATGCTGACACCCATTTCAAGAGTTGGGAAGAAGCGTATGAATCTTCTAGTGTCCCTCAGTGAAAGTTCAACTAATCTGCTCTCTCTCCGTTAGGTTATTGGATGGATCTCGCGGCTAGTGCAAAATTTCTGGGCAACACTATAGAAGAATGTCAACGGGTTCTACATACTGATATCGTTCAAGTGTGGAACATTCAGGATGATTGTGGGGTAAATATTTTATCATCACTCCTCTTCTCACTTATAATTATGGAAATTATGCTGCTAGTATCTGGAAAGCAAGGAACTGAAAAAGTGATGATCGAACTGTGATGGGAATCAAAATGACCAGCTGTCAGATTCGACAAAGTGGATATTCATGTGTTCGAGCAATCATATTTCTTCTCGCAATGCCATGTTAAACACTAAATGGGAAAACCTCAGTGCACTCATGCTACACATTAAATGGCGTACATCGTTGACTTCACGATTATTATGCAAGTAATTTTTGGCCTGGTGGTGAACGCCCGTTTGCGCCTTTCCCGCCGCTTGATCAAGCTTGTCTTTACGGCCTACAACATTTCAGAGGAAAGGAGCAAAGTTCACAAGGAGGTTAAGGAACATGTGAAGCTGGCAGGCTGCTTTGACTGGGATGCAGCTCTGGCAAAGATCATTCAATTGATCAAGGAGTATCAGATGAAACCCGAGAGTATGGACAAGCTACAAAGTGCAGTTGAGATGTTCGAGAACAATGACGACGAGGATTGGGGCATAGGCAAAGCGTGACGTTATCATTTGATTCCCTGTGTACTTATGTGGGCCGATTTAACGGGATCTCCCGGATCCCCGCCGCTTTCGGAAGGTGCACGTGACCACGTGACCTGGCGCGTCGCGCAAGAGGTGTCAGATCCGCCGATCACAGAAATCGATGATGTCATACCCTCTCCCCCCCCACCCCCCCCAAATAAGGCGATTCATGTGGTATGTTTGGTAAACGGCAGGACGGCAAGGAAATAGCGGCATCACACAAACCCTCAGCATCTTATCCGACCTGAACAACGCAAGACGCATCCTCCTCAACAAATCCTTCTCATCATCATGGCGTCTCGATAATGTATATAGTGTATAGGCTTGCCACTAATTCAAGAACCAACACCCCCATTATCAACTTGTCAAGGCTCTGCAATTTGGTGGAGGCTCACCATATCAAACCTACCCATTCTCTATCCACGACCCCAATTCTTGTTTCAAGCTTGGGTGTACTCTTCTTTTCATCGATCCTACCAGCTCTCATATATATGTGCGCTCCCCTTTTTGCACTGGATCGTCGCCAACTCCAATCCCGCTGTCCCTGTTTGTCATTACTTGTCAGCATCGTTCTCGATCGTGCTCGGAGACCTGTGGGGAACTCGACCTTACCACTCTGAGCTACACTTAGCTCGGACAGCAGCTTGATTCAGCACGAAAAAGTTGAAGAAGGAGCAAACGACGGTGCGTGGTGTCGTGAGCTTAGATAATCTTTTTCTAACCCACGAATACCTGTTCAACACTCGCAAGGCACTTTCTTGCCTCCGCGCCCACAATAAAACCTGGCGTACACTCCTTGACCTTTGTGGTACTGAAGACATCCTTGGCCTACCACACATTTTCAAGATTTCGAAACTTTCCCAATTCTTAGCGCTCGATTCTGCCAAA